GTGCGAACCCTGCCGCAGGGAACTGACTCGGGCGTGCTGGCCGGGCCAAATCCCCGCCCCCGAGCCTGGGCCAGACATCAGCTGGGGGAGGGGGGAGAGCCAGCCAGCCAGTCACTCCCCTTCCCCCAGATGTGTTAGGCTGGGAGGGGCATGACCCTGTGCTCAGCTAAACCCTCCTCCGCTGGCCCTGGAGTCTGATTGGCTCTGGATCAGCCCTGAGGGAGGGGCTGTGTTTTTAACTCCTGGATTTCTCGGTAGGGGGTGCTCCAGGGATCAGGGCAGGAGCTCTGGCTGGGGAGGGAGGGAGAGATCCTGGCTATGCTGGCTCCGAGTCCACCCTCTGCCAGCAGGGGGCGCTGTAGGGGCTGGCACAGATGCTCTGGTTGGGGGGGGATCCTGGCTATGCTGGATCCAATCCATCTTCTGCCAGCAGGGGGTGCTGTAGGGGCTGGCACAGATGCTCTGACTGGGGGTGGATCCTGGCTATGCTGGATCCAATCCACCCTCTGCCAGCAGGGGGCACTGCAGGGGCTGGCATAGATGCTCTGGCTGGGGTGGATCCTGGCTATGCTGAATCCAATCCACCCTCTGCCAGCAGGGGGCGCTGTGCCCCCAGTAACTCCAGTCCCAGCTTGTCCCCTGTGTCAGCTGGAAACCCAGCCCCATGGGTCAAGCTGTACCAGAGCTGCCTGGCCTGGCCTGCCCCTTTCTGTGGCAGAGCAGCCTCACGGCAGCCGGGACAGCAATCCCGCCAAGCCGTGCCGAGCTGGAACAGTGTTTCCTCTCTGCAGCAGGGGACGGACCCGACGGAGAAGACCACCCCAAGGGGCAGCAGCAGAAATGTGCGTGGTGCAGGACAGAGGAGGTAGGAAGGAGGCCCTGATGTTCTGTGCCTCCAGCTGGCTGTTGGGAGGAATTTACCCAGTGGGGTTGGGGCAGGACTCCAGGCTTCTATCTCCGGCTGTGGGAGGAGAGTGGGGGGCTAGTGGGTTGGAGTAGCTGGGCTGGGAGACAGGACACCTTGGTTTTCTCCCCTGTTCTGGGAAGAGAGTGGGGTCTAGTGGTTAGAACTGGCGGAGACCTTGGAGTTAGGAGGTCTGGGCAATGTTCCTTCTAATTTTTCCCATCCATTCGTGGAATAAATTTTGTTACGTGCACAGAGGCATGTGTGGATGTGCACCACCAGTAGGAACACGCTGTGGGCTCCCTGCTAATCAGCTGGGCAGCATTTAAATTTCTCCTGGGAGGCTGCCCAAGTGCTCAGCTTACAGGGACTACAGGTGGCGGGTTTCATTGCTAGCTCTGGGAGGGCCATGGGGGTCTAGCGGGTAGACTCCAGGGTTCTGTTCACAGCTGTGGGAGGGGAGTGGGGAGTAATGGTTAGAGTGGGAAGGGAGCCAGGACTCCTGAATTTTATTACCTGATGAAATTAAGTCCCCCCTTCAGCCAGCTGCACAGGAGCGGAAGTTAGTTGGTACAACTCTCCCGCAGAGCTCCTGCCTGAGACAGGGGGGTCTCAGTCACCTGGGAAAGGCTCCAGGGGAAGAACTGACCATGGGTCTGGAATCCAGTTGATCAGAGACCTGCCGGCTGTGCTGTCAGGGCAGGGAACCGGCCCCAGCTGAACACCTGGCCACAGCTGCACAGGGTTCTCTCAGCTGGAAGCTCTGCTCCCTGGGGCGTTGCCTTGACACCAGCACGTGTGTTTTAGGATCTGCCAGAAGCGAAGCCGGAGCTTGTGCTAGGGACGGGCGGGAAACCAACCTCCTACAGGTAAGAGCCGGCTGGAGTGACCCGGGGGCTTCTCATTAAGATGCTGGCCTGGGGTGGAGGAGACTGGAGTTGAACTCTGGCTTCTGAGCCAGAACCCTGCCCTGTCAGGCTCCCCCATGTTATAAAAGCTCCTCCGCCCACCGGTGCCACAGTGGCAGGTGTCTGCACAGCCAGGAGACAGACAGCCAGGACTGGCATTAGGGGTAGCAAGTGGGGCAAAGGGGGAGGGCCCCCTGGCCAGGCTCTCGGATGTATGTTGGCAATGGGAGGGCTCCCGAAACCTGATCAGAGCCACCAGGGCCTGCAGTATCCCCCTGTAAAATGAGGAGAATGATCCACTGTTCCTTGCGATGTGTTTGTGCAGCGCCTAGCACAACGGGGCCCTGGTCTCAGCCGGGGTCTGTGTGAAGCCTGCTCCAACGGGGCCCTGGTCTCAGCCGGGGTCTGTGTGAAGCCTGCTCCAACGGGGCCCTGGTCTCAGCCGGGGTCTGTGTGAAGCCTGCTCCAACGGGGCCCTGGTCTCAGCCGGGGTCTGTGTGAAGCCTGCTCCAACGGGGCCCTGGTCTCAGCCGGGGTCTGTGTGAAGCCTGCTCCAACGGGGCCCTGGTCTCAGCCGGGGTCTGTGTGAAGCCTGCTCCAACGGGGCCCTGGTCTCAGCCGGGGTCTGTGTGAAGCCTGCTCCAACGGGGCCCTGGTCTCAGCCGGGGTCTGTGTGAAGCCTGCTCCAACGGGGCCCTGGTCTCAGCCGGGGTCTGTGTGAAGCCTGCTCCAACGGGGCCCTGGTCTCAGCCGGGGTCTGTGTGAAGCCTGCTCCAACGGGGCCCTGGTCTCAGCCGGGGTCTGTGTGAAGCCTGCTCCAACGGGGCCCTGGTCTCAGCCGGGGTCTGTGTGAAGCCTGCTCCAACGGGGCCCTGGTCTCAGCCGGGGTCTGTGTGAAGCCTGCTCCAACGGGGCCCTGGTCTCAGCCGGGGTCTGTGTGAAGCCTGCTCCAACGGGGCCCTGGTCTCAGCCGGGGTCTGTGTGAAGCCTGCTCCAACGGGGCCCTGGTCTCAGCCGGGGTCTGTGTGAAGCCTGCTCCAACGGGGCCCTGGTCTCAGCCGGGGTCTGTGTGAAGCCTGCTCCAACGGGGCCCTGGTCTCAGCCGGGGTCTGTGTGAAGCCTGCTCCAACGGGGCCCTGGTCTCAGCCGGGGTCTGTGTGAAGCCTGCTCCAACGGGGCCCTGGTCTCAGCCGGGGTCTGTGTGAAGCCTGCTCCAACGGGGCCCTGGTCTCAGCCGGGGTCTGTGTGAAGCCTGCTCCAACGGGGCCCTGGTCTCAGCCGGGGTCTGTGTGAAGCCTGCTCCAACGGGGCCCTGGTCTCAGCCGGGGTCTGTGTGAAGCCTGCTCCAACGGGGCCCTGGTCTCAGCCGGGGTCTGTGTGAAGCCTGCTCCAACGGGGCCCTGGTCTCAGCCGGGGTCTGTGTGAAGCCTGCTCCAACGGGGCCCTGGTCTCAGCCGGGGTCTGTGTGAAGCCTGCTCCAACGGGGCCCTGGTCTCAGCCGGGGTCTGTGTGAAGCCTGCTCCAACGGGGCCCTGGTCTCAGCCGGGGTCTGTGTGAAGCCTGCTCCAACGGGGCCCTGGTCTCAGCCGGGGTCTGTGCGGAGCCTTTCCCAACGGGGACCTGTTCTGGTGCACCCCCGCAATGCCCACACCGACAATGGAGATTAATGCACCTGCGGCGAGCGGAGCAGGAGACTGGCTAGTTCCAACTCTCACTGATTAATTAGATGACTTGATCCCCTCCCCCTTTCTCCCTGCTCTGTGCAGGTTTCACCTCCCTGGGGCAGGCTCCTTCCGTTGCTCAGAAACCGAACTGGGGTTCGTGGTGAGGGCTGCTGTGACCGTCCAGTACGGCTACGACTCCTGGGCTCGGCGGCTGGGCGCCTCTGAGAGGCAGCAGTGGATGGTGGCCGGCCCGTTGTTCAGCATCCGGGCGGAACCGGCCGGGGCCGTGGCTGCCGTGCAGAGGGGGGCGGCGGACGAGAGGAGTAAGTGGGTTCTAAGCTTTGGCTGAGCCCCGGGGACGCTGGGAAGAGGCTGGGGACAGAGCAGACACAGGGCTCTGGTCTCTGTACTCTGAGATGCCTTCAGCTGTACCACTCCCAGCACCAGGCATGGAGCCGTGGAGTCCTGGCTCCCAGTCCCCCCTCCCAATTCTCTAGACCCCACTGCCCTCCTGGCACCAGACATGGAGCCCCAGAGTCCTGGCTCCCAGTCCCCCCTCCCAATACTCTAGACCCCCAGAGCCCGGGGTAGAACCCCTGAGTCTTGGCTGCCTCGCCCCGCTCTCCGGGAAGCAACGTGGAGCCTCCTTTTCCTTCTCCTCCCGCGACAGGCCGAGCAGCTGTTCTGTCGCAGCTGCAGGTCGCTCACATTGCTGACGGGGGGCTGACCCTGGAGGAGCCGGCCCAGGTGAGGCCGTTCCACGCCGTGCTGGAGAACCCCAGCTTCTCCTTCGTGGGGGTGCTCTGGAGACCCCTCTGCGCCATCTTCCCCTTCATACCCATCCACTCCGTGGGGCTCATCTACCGGGTGCTCCAGGCTGCTGACATCACCCTCCACCTCTACCTGATCCCCAACGACCGCTCGCTCATACAGGTACCGGGAACCCACTGCACAGCCGGGGTGCGCTGGCGCCGCCAGCCCTGGCAGGGCACAGAGGGGGTGAGAACCCCCGTGGGCAGGGGGCGCTTGTGGGACCACTAGCGACGTGTGGGGCTCTCTGCTGATTCATCCTCAGGAGGAATCCAGCTCTCAGAACGTGGTTTTTTTTCGGCCCTTTTTCTCCGTGTCAGTGTCTGGGCTGTGGGCAGTCATGCCTAGCAGTTAGAGCAGGAGTCAGGGCTAGTGGTTGGAGCAGGCGTCCGAAAAGGAGGCAGAGGCCAAGTGCCAGGGCTGAAGTGAGAACTCGCAGCTGAAGGTCAGGACTGAGTTCCCGGGAATAAAGTGAAGCAGGGGGCACGGCTGGAGTGGTGCCGGAGCTGCGGGAGCCTTTAAATTGTCACCAGGGTGCCGCCCCACATGGCTCTGAGGAGATGTGGTCTGCACGGCGCTAAAGGCTGAATTCCTGGGCCCTGCCCCTTGAGGCCAAGGCTCCACCCCTTTTGGGGGCCTCCCACATCTTGCCTCATGGCCCGCGGTGGCTGCCTGCCCCACTGATCTTCCCTGGCTTGGTGACAAGTCCCCTCCCGCTGTGTGAGGTGAGCCAGGGCTTCCCAATCCAGGGGCAGCCTTCCCCCATGTTGTGTCTCTTGGCCAGTCTCTCTGGGACACGCCTGTGTTTGAACCCTTCTAGGCCGTGGATGACGAGGAGAGAAAGCACCGGTCCATACAGGTGCTGAAGCCCCCTCAGACAAAGCCCCTCTACTTCGGCTCCCATTACACCGTGTCCAGTTCCTTGGACTTAGAGGTGACCCCTGAGGTAAGTCGAAAGGATGAAAACCCCCGACTGCCGGCTCGACAGACGGAGCAAGAGCGTGTTGCTAGGTCTCACCCCCGGCCTCTCCTTGCTAAGCTGGTTGAAACGTTTCCGGAGGAGCCAGATGCTGACCGGACAACATTCAGAATATGGCCTTGTCCCTCTACACAAAAACCGAACTTAATTGTTTCCATAAAGTCAGACTGTTTGATGTTTTCATTTCAAAATGTGTATTCTATTATGACAGAAAATCGACACTTCCCTTCCCGACTCCTCTTCCCATTTACACAGGGTTGTTCTTTCTGGCTGTCCTCTTCCTGCTGCCCGTTCTTTGCTAGTCGGC